AATACAAGTGAGGCTGTATACTGACAGAACATCATGGTTCAGCAGCCACTGTGCTAAATGAGCACACAAGGGCTTAGAGCCAGACTGACACGATCTTCCTCTTTCCTACCACTTATATATGCTCTTCTGCAAAAAAATGTGATGCGTTTTTATTTAATTGCACAGTTCATGGCAGGGACCATCACACAATGGCTTCATTCACTGTTGGGAAATGGTTATTTCCAAATCACAATCAGACTGGTGGACATTGTGGAGAGAAATATAGAAGGAGAGTAGGCCTTTTCCCTATGTGTTTTATTAGAGGAAGTGGTCGTGAGTGACAAGCACGTACATTCGGGAACTGCAGACAGTTCATACTGTACCTGAGCGGCTTCATTAGCCAAGACTTTGTCTCAGTCCACGCTGGTTTCTTACGCAGGGATCCAGTCTGGAGGATCTGCTCCTCTCTGTGCTGAGATGATTGGCACATGGAACAGAATGGCCAGTATTCAGCAGGACCGAATCGGCTATGTGAGATATGCAGACACTGAAATCTATATTCAGGTCAACTTTCAAACAACCTCTCGGAACAAAATTCAAAAGCAGTATTGGAATACAGAACATGGAGTTGTGATTACACTTCCACTCCGCATCGATCACATACTGTGGGGTCTGGAAAGTGGAGTGATGCAAAGAGTAGATTTTGTTATAGAAAATATCAAATGGAGTCCAGCAAATTGGTCTATTCCATGCACAATAAAATAGGATTTGGTGAAATATTCCAACACAGATGACCTTCTTCATAACATCTACATTAATGCATTTAATAGAAGCTAATACGCAAAGTGACTTATACTGCATTCAAGTTTCATGACTTACAGTCAACAAAGTTCAGCCAATCAATTTTTTTCATGTATTTGGCAAATGCTTTTATCAAAAGTGATTTATATTGCTTTCAGGGTACATGTTTTATTTCAGATTACACTTCTCGTTTTCTCTGAGAGTTGAACCTATAACCTTGGCATTGATGCTCTACTGTTTAAGATACAGAAAGTAAAATCGTGCAATGAAATAATCCAACAAAAACTAAATACTGATATTTAATTCAAATATTGATACTGATATTTTTCATTAAAATATCAACCAATCAGGTGTTGAATTGTTAATTGTGCAAGATAGCTGACATGCATGTCGCCCATTTTTAAAAGATAATTAAACAAATACACTCAAAAACCATGCCATTAAAATTACAATTAAAGTGATAGTTCACCCAAAAATGAAAACGCTGTCATTAATTACTCACTCTTCATTTATCTTCGAACAGAAATTAAGATATTTATGATGCATTTTTGTGCGCAAAGAAAACAAAAATAAGGACTTTGTCTCCTCCGCGTTACCCTGTAGTGCCATTTTGGAGAGTATCACATACGCAAACAACGTATGCTGTTCTGTGTCAGCAGCACCGTACGCGGATACGATGTTTACCTTTTGATCTGAACGTAAACAATGTATCCACCTACATACGTTACATATGTTGTTGACGCATGTGATACTCTCCAAAATGGCACTATAGGGTGATGCGGAGGAGATGAATTGTTGAATTATGTTGTTATTTTTGTTTTCTTTGCGCACAAAAAGCATTCTCGTAGCTTCGTAAAATTACGGTTGAACCACGGATGTCACATGGATTATTTTAACGATCTCCTTGCTATGTTTCTAAGCCTTGATCGTGTAAGGATCCTTGCTGTCTATGGGAGGTTCAGAGAGCTCTCGGAATGCATGAAAAATATCTTATTCAATAGCATTTCCAAAATTTTTAATTTGTGTTCCGAAGATTAACGAAGGTCTTACAGTGTTGGAACAACATTAGGGTGAGTAATTAATAGGGTTGCAAAGGGGTGGAAAATTTCCGGTAAATTTCCGCAAACTTTCCAAAAATGCCTGGAAGATTCCAAAAAATCCTGGAAAGTTTCCAAAATTTCTGGAATGTTTCCAAAATTTACTGGAAATTTTCCACCTTTTTGCAACCCTAGTAATTAATGACAGAATTTAAATTTTTTGGGTGAACTATCGCTTTAAGAATAATTAGGGCTGCATGATATGGAGGGGGAAAAAGTGCTATAGATGCACAATAAACTTTAAAAAACACAATGGTGATAAACAACACGATCATCTTATAAATTAATAAAACTTATGAATAATGTCTCAAATCAATTAAAATTATTTGTATGAACTACTTTATTTACATGAATGACATCTGGAACATTCAATTTAAACAAATTATGGAGAGAATGATGCTTTTTTTTTTCTTTCTTTTTTTTACAAAACTTTCTCCACTCCCATATCCCAATCTGCTCAAATGACATATTTTATGTAGCTGTTGTAGTACCAGAGATGTCAAAAGTACCAGAACTTCAATTAATTACTAATCAACAGTCCTCAGTGTAATCGATCAAATTATTAAATGATAAACATCACTTTAAGGTTAACACAGTCTACACAATGTAGTTTCAACGGCCTTAAACAAACCCAGAGTGTGTGAAATATTCAAACTCACTCTAATCCACGGATTCTGAAGCCTTAATCATTTTTTCATGGTTGGTTAAATGCAATTCATCAGAAATTTGCCGTATACTGCACAAGATTTAATGCACTTAATGTAAGTGAGGTCAAATGCGTGAGAGAAAGACCTTTGCGCTCCTCGTCTGTGTGCATGCGGCATGGTACAGAATACGTTCAAGACACGTGGCAACAATCTCACACGTCCGGAACACACAAGCAGGCATAATGTCTTGACTAAGCACTTCCATATGGCGTGACTGCAGCCTGATTTTTCTCTGTGCGCTAAAGCCCTGTGGGTTGTAAAGTGTCTGTTTTTGTGACCGCCCCGGTGATCACGATTTCCAGTAAGGTCTTACGCTACGCATCGGCATGTGTGATCCGACCGGCCGGTCTCAGCAGCTCACATCTCACTGAGGAACGAGATCTAAAGCAGCACAAAACAGTCATTCCAGCTGCCTGGTCAGGTACAAAAACCCTGACCAGCATATTCCAGATCATCTTTTATTCAGAGCCAACGTACCATTAACCCAACCTCTAAATTTATAATGGCAAACCCTGCCAGACAAAACGTGTGTTCAATGGTCTCTGATGTGGCCGTACGCCCCATAGGCCCAACCTTACTATTTGAGAAATTGACGAGCACTCAAAACTGCCTGGAAACGCACTGCACAACAAAAAAGGCTGGGAGGTAATAGCATGTGAGAGAGCTGTCTGACTTTGACTGACATGGGAGCCGTTTTAAAGCGCACACACACACGCAAGGCTAGAGCGCATGAGAAAGAGTGTAATGTACTTCTTGCCAAATTGCTATTCTGATAGTGTCTGAGCCAAATAAATTAAGACTGTATATTCTACTGGCACGTTCAAAGCAAAATTATAGAGGTTAATCAAATGTGTGTTGTAAATCCCCGGCCTGCCCTCCAGCTGAGTGCCAATTGACAATGTGGAGTTTACAACACAACAGCAGCACGTCTGATGAATCTTTCATAACACACTCAATCTCTATTCTAAAAAAACAGCGATATGCATGACTTACAAGAGTCAGAGAACTCAATTAATTAAGAGGATACAGGGCTGGAAATTGTCTGTAGGGTTAAAAAAAAAAAAAAAGTTTGCCGTCAAAACTCAAACCCTCATTTTATCAGATTTTCAATACTGATGCACCAGAATTGTCTGCAACTGCAAATAATAAAATTATTATTCTAAAACTGCTTGTGCTTAGAACATTTTTAAAAATTAACTAACGACTATGCTGTAAATGTTTAGTTTCCGACGTTGGAACTAAAACAAAGATTGTTGCAGTATGTTTTACAAGAAAATAACATTTCAGTGTTACTTGCCATTTCTTCGTAATTGTTTGTGGAATTTACTTACAGTGAAATAGTTTTGTTTTTTTTCTTCAGTGTATATAAACTTCAAATATCTAATAACAATAAAAATATAATCAAAAACGGTGAAATGAAAATCAATTTCACAATTTCCAAATGTGTTTAAAAACAGAACATGCCAGTGTTTTTGACCGAATCATAATGCAATCAATCATTTTTCAAGAAATGAAAAGGGTGCGTCATTAATTTTCATCTGTAAAGAGATTTCATAATTTCATTATTCATCATTCATACAAGAAAGCATTAATTTGTATAACTTGACAAGAGAAAATTTTTTTTTTTAATAAACAATAAGTAAATAAATAAAAAATCTGAGCCAAGTTTAATCCAGCAGGGGCATGTCTGACTGTGACATGTATACAGTATATTGCCATTATTATTATTTGTAAAACTCTTCATTGTTGATCTTGAATGATAATGCAAGTTATTCAAATCCTTACTATTTTTTGGTGTAAACGCATGCTGATATTTTCTAAACCGGTTTCCAAACTTTTGGAAGGCACTGTAACATTTCTGGGATGAGCAACATTATGCATATTACAACATGCAGGTAGCATAAGAGTGTGATAATGTGTTGCTGCTGCATCCTCTTAGTTATTGATGTATATTACAAACCTCACAGGAAGATGGACAGTCCTTCATGAATTATTCACAGATTAGTATGCCCACTCACAACCTGTGCTTTTCAGCTTCAAAATAGAAACAGGTCAAGAGCGTGATGGGCAAAAGCAGCAAAACAACATTTCTTTACAGGCAAGGAAAACACATTAATGCGAAAAAGGCACCAAAGAGGATCAAGGTATCGTGAAACTATATTTGTGCGGTGTGACCGTGCTACTCCTGCCCGATGAAGTCAGAAATGGTTTTGTTTGTCCTCTTGAAAGCAGAAATAGACCCAGACGGAGCTTGTGAAGTGAGACAGACCGGAGAGAAATCAAAAGCCTTTTTGATGGAGGTCACCTAACCACCTGTGCAACATTGATTGACAGTTCTGACTGCTTACCAAGTTACTGTTGGGACGTGAAGCTGTACGTGCACGAATCATAGTTTCATGGTCAGATAGACACTCACCAAACAAATTGCTGGAGTGGCCTTGCTTAGAGACGGGACGCAGTTCGTTGGAGCCCCAGGCGTAGCGCTTGTAATTATCCCAAGAAAACTGCATCATCTGAGGAGAGAGTGAGAGATGAAGAGGTTACCTTTGTGAATTTTGGTTAATTTCGTCACAGCAAAGGTAAAACATCACAGAACAAAAAGTAAAATTAATGTGTCAACAACTAACATACAAGTGACTGGGCTAATCAAGGATCAATAGCATTAAATAATTTGATTAAATCAACAGTCGAAATGCTTAATGGATCCATTGCAGCACAAATACGCTTAATTAAGAGAGAAAAAATATCAATGCTCACATGTGTCAGGTATAATTTTATTTGTGGATAAAAATGGGCTATGTGCACTAGGCTTGCCGCGATAGAAGGTGCTGATGGTGATACCGGTGTTAAGCCGCAACACTGGTTACGTCACTTGCCCACCGCGGCACTGACCCCAACCCTCGTTTAGATTTTTTTATAGTAATAAAAATCATCTAGTTCAGTAAAAGAACAGACACTACAATTAAAAACTGAACGCGGCTGCTCAATGCAGCGTGCCGAACGATAGTCACATCACAGATCAGATTTAATTTCTCCAGTGAGGAGAGCAAGTCCACCTGACTGACAAGAAGAGTGAGGTGAGACAGACAAGACGATCGCGGATGATTTCGTTTCGAAACTAAATGCAAAAGCACCTGTTTGGCAATATTTTGGATTTTGAAAAGCCTGTTGACTTTTGCCGTTTATCTAAGGTGATTTTGGAAGTTTTTTTGAACATTCGTTTCTTATTTAATTGGTTCCACATTGTTTGCGGCTTTTTACTTTATTTAAACTTTGTGTAATTTATTTATTTTATTTGACATCAAGGTGTACGCCATGCCTCCAAGCTTTCTTACTCGTTTTGCTAATAAACGTTCTACGTTTCTTATTTATTCGATTATATTATTATATGTTTACTTAGCCTATTTCCAGTTTTGTATACCTATTTAAACATTATGCAAGTTATTTGTTATTTTATATTAGGCATAGCCTGCCCTATAGCATTATTTGACATCAAGGTGTACGCCATGCCTCCAAGCTTTCTTACTCGTTTTGCTAATAAACGTTCTACGTTTCTTTTTTATTCGTTTATATTATTATATGTTTACTTAGCCTATTTCCAGTTTTGTATACCTATTTAAACATTATGCAAGTTATTTGTTATTTTATATTAGGCATAGCCTGCCCTATAGCATGGTGTATTTTTTTTATTTGTTTTGTTAATAAAAGTTCTAATGTTTTATATATAGGCTAAAGAAGTTTGACTTTGTATTTTGTTGTTGCATTCAAGCAATTGATGCCGAACTGCCGCTAATTCGAAAGTTAAAGTAAAATGCGCACAGCGCTTTTAAGCTATTTAAAAGCGAAGGAAAGCGAGGAAAAGACGGAAAATTCTAACGAACAATTGCTTTACACCGAATTGCCACTGTTTGAAAGTGAAAGTAAAATGGGCATGCCGCTTTTACAAGCTATTTAAAAGCAAAGGAAAGCGAGTAAAAGAGGAAACGCCTCTGTCCCCACGGTGATACCGGTATTGTCAGACGTCGATTAACTGGTGGGAAAATTCCCTCACCGTCACAACCCTAATGTGCACATGGTTTTTGAGTACTACACAGATTTTGTACAGTAGCATTAAACAACCAATTAATCATTAATGTCAATAAAAATGACCAGGGTTTCTGCAGGATTTTTTAGCTCAGATTTAAGACTTTTTAAAGTCCGTGCAAAGAGAATTCTGAGAATTGTTTCTAAACACATTATAAATGTTAGAAATGTATTGCAGAAACACATTAGACTCTGAAGTATGTAGTACTGAATTGTGGAGTTAAACAGTTTTTCAACAATTCTGTGTTCAGGATTTTTTGGGCGGGACTAAAACGGTGGCTCGATGATGCAATGGAGCCACCGAGCATGGCCCCTCCCCTAACACTATAAGACATGTGTTCGACTTGAAGCAGCTATAGAGAGCAGACGGTTCCTCATGCTTTCGAATCGCTCTCGTGTCATACACAGCCCTGCTTCAAGTCGAACACACCTAATAACTACAGCGCAGTGGTTTGCCCACTCAATCGCAAGTTACTGCCGTTCGTTGCTACAGCCTACAGGTTGCTAGCTAGCTATGCCTTCGTCACGTAAATGCATAATACCTGGTTGCAATAATTTACTAAACAGATCGGCCTCCTCATTTAAATAAGCTGCAGAGGAAGACGGTTGAGAGAGAGACTGCAGCTTTTCCATGAGTGGGAGTGGTTTCAGCGCCGCCAGCGGACACGCCCCCGGCATCTGAGAGCAGAGAATACTGCTTATTTTTTCAAGATTTTGATAGCTTATTTTATTCATTTGGCAGGGTTTTTTTAGCATTCAAATTTTGCTGGTTGGTTAATAACACATTTTTCTGTGGTCTGATAAACTCAGAACACACATTTAATATTGACTTTACACAGACTTTAAGACTTTTTTTAAGACCTGCACAAATAAAATGAATACCATATGATCGGGATAGAGCAATGTCTACAGTTACACATGAAATTCTAAAATGACTGTAAAAAGTATGATTTACAGTTTGCAAGTTTTCACATAGGGCTGGACAATATGGCCAAAATTTATATCACGGTATATTTCTTAATTTCAGTCGATACGATATATGAAAGCTATTTATCTGAAATAGAAATCTTTTGTAACATTATAACTGCCTTTATCATCACTTTTGATCAATTTTAAGCATCCTTGCTAAATAAAAGTATTCATTTCTATAATTTATTTCCCCCAAAAATTATACAAATTATACTGACTCCAAGCTTTTAAATGGAATCGTGTATGTTACAAAAGCTTTTATTTCAGATAAATGCTGATCTTTGGATATTTCTATTAATAAAAGAATCCTGAAAAAAAAAAAACTCAACTTTTTAAAATATTGTTAATAAGCATATTAGAATGATTTCTGAAGGATCATGTGACATTGAAGACTGGAGTAATGATGCTGAAAATTCAGCTTTGATCACAGGAATAAATTTCATTTTAAAATCTATTCAAATAGAAAGCAATTTTAAATAGAAAAAATATTTCAAAATGTTACTGCTTTTGCTGTACTTTGGATCAAATAAATGCAGCCTTGTTGAGCAGAAGAGAATTCTTAAAAAAAAACAAAAAACAAACATTAACAATCTTACTGTTCAAAAACTTTAGACTGGTAGTGTAGGCTGATTATTCATATAGATTAAAACAAATGTGCTTCAGCCAGAAAAAAAGGGTATGGAAATTACTCCGAGTCACTGCGGAAAACAACAAAAACTGGAAACGTTGCTGGAGACGGGCTTATTATTGAAAATGCAAACTCATTCTCTGCCAGCAGGAGGCGCTTTTAGAGTGATAGAACTCGCGGTTTCCCCAGTAATGGCTGTAATCAAATCAGCTCCGCTCATGAACGCTACTTTATCAGATAAAAATGAAAATGTCATCGAAACTTTTCTGAAGGTTCCCTTCAAAGATACATTCATATAAAACACCCATGCCGCGTTTTGATTTTGAAACGTGCAGTGCTCATGTATATTCAACAAAGTCAAACGCCACAAATAAATCAATGTATGGAAAACACTGGTAATGTATATCGAAATATCGGAAAGTTGTTTAAAAATCATATCACCGTTATTGAAAAAAAATTATATCGTGATACATATTGATATTGAATTATTGTCCAGCTCTATTTTCACAAAAACAAAAAGTTTAATAAATGATACACTTCTTCACACTTCAGCCTGTAAATCATGAAGAAAATGGATGAGTCAAAATGATCAATTATTATATTAATTTAAACAATTATTATCAATAAATTATGTTAATTAAATAACAAATACATTTTACTTAGATTTTCATGATGCATTATATTCTTATCAACCCACCAGTTCACATTTACAGCTCTGCGTGTTTGCAGGGTAAAAACATGGGTCGATTTTCGCATTGGTCTGAACAAAAACAACAAGCTTATTGAAAATGCACATTCATTTTCTGTCAGTAGGTGGCGCTTTCTGAATGGCAGAAATATAGTGGTTTCCCCAGTAATAGCAGTACACAAAGCACCTGTGCAGCGCTCGTGTTTATTTAATGAAATAATGGTCTTTTAAATCATCAAATTAAGACATATCACAATTCTGATCTATCAGTCCGCAAATTTAAGAAATAATAATAATAAATTCTTGAAATCATAATTAAGACTTTCTTGTACAATTTTGGCCTTAAATTAGATACAACTAAATGTATGACTTTGTAAGGACCCACGGGAACCCAGAATGACAATAAATTACTGAAATTCTCAAAAACGGTCTTTCATACTATAGTATAACATACTAAAGTGATAGTGAAAGCTGATATTATAAATAATGATATATCAAGAAGAAGAAAAAAAAACATGCCGTTGACCACACTTCAAAACAGAGAAGAGGAAAATGTAACCAAATTTATTTAGAGAAGTTAATCTATGAAAAACAAATAGTATTTTAACATTGAAAACACACACACACACACGTATGTTATAAAACAAAACGCTTAAACAATCATAATATATCAGCACATGCATGATACAATATGGAGTCGCCTTACGAGACGCAACAGTATTTCCCATCTGCAACACTTTGGTGCCAATTAAAACCATATGTTAGGTCTAGCTTTAAAATAACCTTAAATGATGATGTGAAGGGTGGCCATTCTCCTTATAGACCTTCTGTATGGAGACAGCAGTGCCAAGACAGCAAAAAAAGTGAGCATTATTAGGGTGACATTATTTGCATACAAAATAGTTAATTTAATAATATCACAGGATGTTTGCATGCACTACAGGAGTGTTTAATAATTATTCATGAGACTGCATGGCCTTATCCAATGAGAAGGTTCTGCCTCATTATTAGTCATGACATTTTCCTAAGACTTGCATTTCAAACACTCCGGCTCTTCACTGAAACACGGATCATGAGAGTCTGTTTGCATGCTTTGCCCTCAATGCTGACAAAGCAACAGGTTTTCAATCAATGATTGACTCTGA